TTCCTGCCTATGCAGGGGGTCGGACTCGATGATCTATTGAGGTCCCTTCCGACCCTAACATCTAACATCTATGAATCTATGTCTGACTATTCCATTCATGAAGGACTTCCCCCTCCACTACAGGGAGCCTACATTTTTTCAAATTAAGGGGCTTTAACTGTGGTGCACTTTCTGCCTGCACACCAAATTGGCACATTGGTGCCTAAAGAGGGAATTTAAACTTGTGTAATAGATATCTGCTTTACTAGCTAAATGTGGAACTTGGCGATATTATTTAATATTCATACTGTGGCAGTATAACTGAAGGGTCTACATCTGATTGCTGTGTTTTTTTGTGCCTGATCCTAATAGATGCTGACCCTCACAACTCCCATTGGTGTCAATTGCTCAGCAGTATATCTCAGGATGTGGCCTACTGTATGTTTCTGTTAATAAATAATGACACCTATTGTGCTAATCAGGTTTCCTATGCAAGGGGCCTTTGGGATTAAAATATTTGTCAGCATTGGTACCTGTGTGAATTAATGCTTTCTGTTTTGTCCCCTTGTCATGTGCTTGATTTCCTTGCTTTATGCTTCTTGTGTGACATTTTGTTCTGGGTTCAGTGAATAAGCAATCATTTTAGATAATGAATTATGTATTAAAAGGAAAGCTGGGCTATTTTGGAATTGCTATGTGCTGTCTCAAAAGGCATTGGAATTCTGAAATGTGTATTCTTAAATTATTTATATAGCTTGGAATATTTTAATTTTTTTTTTAAAAGGCAAATGTAACTCCAGGGCAACTCACTTCAGTGATGATTTTTCCTTCCCTGCTTTCTGAGAGCTAGTTCTGGAACCATCAAGCACTTTAAATAGTACTAGCTTACGTAGATCCCTGAAATCCCTTGGAGCTACTTACATACAAATGGATCACCCAACATATATAAGGGTTCCAAAAGTACATTGCTACAGCTGAATACTGCAGATGCTGATCTATAAAATAACATACAGTCATCCTGCTGGGATTTATAGCACCTTATTTAAAGCCACAACCAAATATTTGCTGTGGCATTCTAACCATGCATCAGTGCAAATGTTCCTTCCTCTGGCTGATGGCTGCCAGATTACTAAAAAAGAAAACTATTTTGCCTAAACTCGGATATTTGGAAATTATTAATAAAGATATGCCTGGGGGAAGCTGCACCATCCTCCTGTGAAGGCACATTCAGATTCAGCTGAAGTCGTCTGGGCTGCAAACATTCTTGTCAAAAGCAGTGGAAAAATTCAGTGTCTCTTAACGTGTAAAACCCCCATTAAATAGAGAGAGTTAGCAGCAGCAGTGGATCCAGGATTTCCCAAAGCGGGATGCGGGAGCAGCAACCCACAGTGCAGAGGTAGTTGCACCCCCTGCTCCCAGCCTCCTCCCACCAGTGCAGATGGACCATGATGTGGGAGCATCTTGATACTTTAAGTCTTCCCCTCCCTTTTCCCTCCTTCTCCCCCCTCATCCCTGACTGCCACTGCTGCTTTCTCCAGATTCAGAGCCAGCCAGGCTACACAGAACTAGGCTCAGCTGGGGAGGGGACATTGGCAACAACCCTGCCCAGTCCTGGAGGTATCACAGACGCAGTGCAGGGAAGGGGAATTCTTGTCCTTTTCTGCTACCATAGCCCATCTTTCCAGCTGAGCCCAGCCACCATGCAGTGGGCAGGAACAGCTCTGGTGCTTTCGTGCCTCCAGGGGCAGGGGGGAAAAGTAGGCAGAGGAAAGGGGGAAGGGGCAGAGAGGGGGCATGCCTTTGACCAGGAAAGGGAAGAGAGAGAGAATTTGTTCCAGAGACTTTAAACAGTCCCTAGAGGCTCCCACAATGTGGTCCAGTACAAAAGAGGGGGGCGTGCAGCCACACCACGGCAACCTCTCTGGATCTGCCCTTGGTTAGTACATATGATGAAACCCAATATAAGAGGCTTCTAAAAATCATCAAAATATGATTAATAAACTAATACAGAAGAAAGATGGTCTAGTGTAGGGATGTCAAACTCACTCAGCTTCCCAGGCTGGATCAGGACCATGGGGCTTCTTGTGGAATGGATCTAGACCATGGAGTTCCTTGTAGATAGGATTCTGATGCAATGGTAATGGGATAAGTGGTGGCAACAAACCTGGAGGTTGCCAAAGCCATCACTTTCTTCTTGCTGTCAACATGGATTTCCAACAGGACTCTGTACCCCAGATTTTGGCAGAGAGCCCTGCCCCCACTCACTCTGACCCCTGTAAGAGTCCTGAGAGCCAGACAACACAGTTTGCAGGCTGAGTCCTGCCTGCAGGCCATAAGCTTGACACCGTGGGTGTAGTCAATCTAGTACTGAACTGGGCTAGGGACAGACATTCAAAAAGCCTGAGCCTGCATATATTCAGTCTTTGCAGGTTAGTCTAACCTGGCTTGGCTGAACTGGTTTGAAACCAGACAGACATTCTCTCTGGACTGAGGAAATTCAGGCACATGCCTGCAGAGGCTCAGACTAGAAGCTGGGGGCCGCTAGAGCAGCCCTCCCTTCCCTTCTGCATGGAGCTGAGCTGAGGAGGTGTGGCCAGGCCCTGGAAGGAATCTCTCATTAGGGAGGTCTTCCTTCATGGTCCCAGGCTTTTCCCTGGTGGCTGCTCAAGGGGCGGGAGTGTTGCTAACCCCCAGCTACGGGCTAGCACTCTGAGGTGGGGTGGTTGGGGGGGAGGGAGGGATGCAGTGCAAGAATCTGTTGATGATACCGAGCTTTTCAACCTCCCTCCCTGCTTTGTCAGTGTCTGCAACAGACTGACAGGCAAGCAAGCCAGCTGAGTCTTGCTAATCAGCTGAGTCTTTTGCTAATCAGGTGATAAAGACTGTTATTACAGTAATAGTAATAACAGTCTTTTTCACCTGATTAGCAAAACAATGGCCTCTCTCCATTACTTCAGACTTCTTAAACAGGTTACCGCTGACCTGTTGATTAGCTCCAAACAGCCCTAAGCAGTCACTGTCTGCCTGTCCCAGTGAAATTGGAAAGAGACACACACACAGACACCTTTTGGCATTAGCTAGCACACCACATACCTAGGGCCGGTGGGGCTGGGGTCCGTGTTGTGGGAGGGGGGGTGGGATGTGGAATTTCCTGCTTGACCAGTGAGGCGAAGGTAGGGCAGGGAGAAGCCAGGCAGACCCTGTGTCTGCAGTCTGCTAGAGCTTTACACATCATTAGCTAACATACTACATTCTGGCTATAGTCCATGCTGTGGCAGAGGAGGAAGGGATCCCTGCTTAAGCAGTGAGTTGTGAGGAGGCAGGGGGGGGGAGGGGAGGCAGTAGATCCTGCCATGCCTGCAAATCTCTGCCAGAACTCTGGCCAGGGAGCAGAGTGGGGTGGCCAACCCTGCTTTGGATGCTGGGGGACTCTGATTTAACTTAAATCAGCAAGGGGGCTGGGACATACATTGCATAAACCAGTTTGACCCAAATCAGTTAAGTCTGATACTACATTCAACCAGGTTTATCTCAAACCAGTTTCGGCCATTTTCAAACTGGTTTGTGTGTGCTGAACATCTGTTCTGTTGTAGGTTTAAACCAGTTTCTGATCACATAAAACGGTTTATATGTAAAGTCTGTCCCTAGCCCTGGTACTCAGGCAGTCTGGATTCTAATCTCAGCTATATTATCAGATTACTGGGTGATAGTGGAGAAGTCACTGAGCCTTAGCTTTCGTATTTGTAAAATGAGGTAATGTTGCTTACCTGCTCTATCAAGCACTTTGATCTAACAAGCACTTTGAGATCTATGGGACATTTGGAGTTCCTTTTGGACAGTGTTAAAACAGGAGATCAAATTAATGCTAACAGACCTCATCTGCATTCCCTGATGTCTTGATAGTAATGTCACTGTTTATTTTTGTGACACTGGCAGCTAAGCATTTAGAGTCAGCAAGACAAATTATATTCTAACCTAACCCTATTGCCTACTCTAACAACTATGCTGCAGTCCCTCTTGAATGATTCCACTGCTTGAAATCATTAAACACACCAACAGAGTTAGGAAACTCACATGGTCTTCTAGGTATTCACAATGTAAAACCACTAGACCAGTTTAAACAGCTTCCAAAACACTTGCTGTTAGCAGCTAGATCACAACTGAAGGATTGACTGGAAAAGACCACATATCCCCTCCTCCCCACCGCCCCCGACCAAC